ATTCTGATTTAATCTTGAATCTATTCTACTAAAATTCTAAAACTAAATTTTTTATGTTTAATCAAAATATTTATTGCAGGCTATGGAGGAACCATTTCTTTACGCTGTAAAACTTATATTAGACGAGCGTTACACAGATAATATGGATCTGATATACAAAACTACAATTAAGGTAATCCTAAGAGAGTTGGAAGATGGCTGTAGGAAGGAAATATTCGAAATGAACGGTAAAAATGAAAAGCAAGAAATATGCGAGAAATAAGCTATCGAAATGCCAACTTATTTCTTGTTTTGATACCAAAATTTTGTGAATCCTTCTGCAATATTTTTCCTCTTTAAACACTAATTTTTCGCTGTTTGCTTTTGTTTTCTTCTCAAAGCACAATTTTCCTTCGTGACTTCAACTGCAACCTCTCAATCTTCAGCAATCTTCAATTTGCACCAAATTTGGATTTTATGACTTGGCGTTGAAATCAACTCCATTCCTTGCAAAGTATAAAGTGTATTTATTAACTCTGATTGAGCTCAATCATTCGTCTCTGATTGCTATGCAAACTTAATTGCAAATTGATTGATGCAGAAAGTCAATCGATGTACGATTTTAAGCGGGTAAATCTGCCTGTTAATTTAGGTAATATCTGTGATAATGAAAAGTTAGCATAATGTCTACAATATCCTTACTTTTTCACCACTTTCATTTAGAAATTTTTTCGCTTTATATAAAAGTTTCGATTGGTTCACAATATTTCTGAAAGTTTTACATTTAAACTCTGCTTTGCTCCGTTGTCTCAAAAATATTCTCATCATAAATGGATGCTTATACGCTTCATGAGATTATATTACAACTGAAAAATTCTCATTATCAAAGCAAATGAATTATTTAACAAAAAACGCGAGATAAACGAGCAAGCATAGAATTTATGGCAGATTAATAAGTAGTTAACATCTTTTTGCTTGCACTGCTAGCTAAAAACTTAGCATAAGCATTTGCTTGAGGTTGAATAATTAATTAATCAGTAAATGATACCAAATTCACAGTTAGTTTACTTTCTAATTCTTTAATAATTTGTAACTGGTTACTAACACTAATTTCATATGAAAATCACCAAAGTATTTTGCTATTTGTCTTTTTTCCAGGATATTCGATTTTTGATGGAGCATTTTCAGTGCGAATTTTATTCTTAGCCTAAATTTTTAATTTGAGAAAAATTAATTGTAAAAAATTTTGTTTCTGTGGGGACTCTTGTTGTTTCAATCAAGATATCTGGATAATCAGCGAAAGATAAGTAATTTCTTGAATTGAAAAGACCAGAGTGATTATCCAAATTTTGTTATGAAAAAAATCTGAAAGTCAGAATTAAATATTCAATCTGAGTTGTATTTTAATGTTTTACATTAAACTATCTTATCCAGTAATTGTACATTTTTATGATTGTGTTGTTGTTTCATACGTTGATGTGCAATTATTTTGCTCAAGTTATGATGGCAAACGGGTTTTGTACTGAATAAATATATTTACTACACTGCAACATCTTTATATATTATGATTAAAGCAGAAATAGTCTAATACATTTAAATTTGACTGAAAATTTTTTTATAAGTTGTTGTACTTTGCAATTTTCAAACAAACAAATGGCCATTAATTCTGCTTTCTGATTGACTTGTGGCAGATTAATGAGTAATTCACTTCAATTCAAAATGTGAAATTTATTCATAACTGATTTTAGTTTGTCATAATCTTTTGAGGATGGCAATCAAAACTTTTATACTCAGCAGAGTTAACAAATGCTAGTAATGAATAACGTAAGCACAAGTGCAACAAAAATTCATAAAAAAATTATAATTTGCAAAAAATAGAACAAAGAGATAGAAAAGTGAGACAAATATTTGATATTGACTAGCGCTAATTATGAAAGTATATTCTCAGCAATATTTTCAATTTTAGGACGTTTATGAATCTACTGCATGTTTTTTATTCAGATTAGAACTTTGATGACAAACTTTTCTATCAGATACAAGTTTGAGATTGAGTATTTAGCGGACTGATTTTCCTATCAAATAAGCACTGAAACTGTAAAGGAATGCAAAAGTATGAGGTGGGATTGGCCCTGTACCGTGACTTTTTGTTCGCTAAAAGATATACGTGAATGAGATTTGTGATTCCACTCACTACTTTTCTCCAGTAGATAAAAATCGCAATTTTTTTTAAGTCCGTGATAATAAAGAACACGTAATTAGTTAGTGACTAAAATTTTAATCCAATATTATGATTGCTGATATTGCAATGATTTTTACTAAAAAGTAATCGTTATTTACATGTTTTAAACCAATAACAAATTGGGATGCATAAAATTTGCTTATTTTGCTTTCTGAAATAAATTTTTTTGTTATGCACAAAACACTTTTAACATTCGTTTAGAAGCATAATAATTACCAAAAGTCATTACTTGCAATTTATGCGTCTGACGAAGATAAAAATGCCTTTACTTGAAAAAAGAGATTTTCACTTCGAAAGTAATTCATTTTTCCCGTCATGAATAAATCATGAACTGTTGCTGAAAATATATGAGTATTCATGAGATTATGCAGATCTTAGCTATATTAGAACGACAAAGAGTATTCATACACAATGTTCGATAACAAGTTTAACAGGTGAACTTAGTACGCAATTTAATCATTTTAAATAATTTTTATGTAAATGCAAGTTAATTATATCGACGGTTCATCACAATTTTGCTTTCAAAATATTTCTTTTAAATTATTCATGATTTTCCTGATAATCTGAATAGTATTAACAAATTAAATATAGACTTAAAATTGCTCACTAATCTAGCAAATACAGCTTTTCTGCGATCAAATCTATCGAACATAACCAAATATAAAATATCAGTTTTATAAAATCGAAATGTGAGCAAAGAACTTATCATGTAAGTGTGAAATTTGCTTCATATATTTAATGAAAAAATGTTCATTGTTTATTACTGCACTGCCGAGAGCATTTACAGAAACATGAAGTTTATTAATCTTTTTGTAATAACATCAAAACTTTGTTTTCAACTCATCATTATTCCATATATTCCTTTGGGAAAGACTTATTCATTTTAAATAACACTTCTCAAGTGGTAAATTCCCTTAATTCTCGAGAACACGTGAAGTTTGCTTAATGCTAAGAAAGCTTTGATTTTTCTTTTACATATAAATTCTTGGAAATAAACAAACCATATTATACGCAAGTTAATCTTCTTCCTACGTTATTGACTCTGGCTTTGGATTGTGTTCTCGATTCTGGCTTTACTTGACCCGCGCACAGACTTGTTGCTTTGATCTCTGACCCTTATAGAACTGTTGCAAGGATGACCTCGTGGAATCCACGCGTTGATAGCCGTGATTGATCGAATTAGATGTTTTCGAGCGTCTTCTTCAGCACTACCGAATATATGCTTCGACGTAACCAGATATATTGACCTCTGCGTAGAGCTTATGAAAGTCCGTTACAATCCCATCCCAAGGCATCACATACGGAATTATTTTGGTCCTGCATTTCATCTCTGACCCGAGCTTATTAGCAAATAGGTCATACTTTCGTCTCTTTTTATGACGTATTCATTCACTGTTTTGAAAGAGCCATTTAATGCAATTTTGGCTAATCGCTCAATTCTCACTAAAATCTCTCGGACTTTATCGTAGCTATTACGGGTAGGTGCACTAGTCCCGTCTTCCATTATTTTAGGGTATTTGTAACCTTGAGTTCCTTCCCATAGCGCCGCAGCACATACCTCTGTATCAGTGGCTCACTTTTCTTGATTCACCTCTAGCCCTGCAGCAGAAAAAATCTTTTAACTTGTTCGGCCATAGATGTTATGATATCCTCGTCGACCGCAAAAGTCTTGAGATCATCTGCAAACAACAAATGGTTCGTTATGCAATTCCCTGATCGTTGTGAACCGGAACCTTTTGGTACGTATGCTAAACCTACGGCTCAACAGGTCCATACGCAAAACGAATATGGAAAAGGCTGTCATTCTGGAAAATTTCCCTCTTCATTTTCTTCTTCATTATTGGAAATGAATTTTAAACAATTTTTTTTATTTTATTCAAAAGAATTAACATGTAATTGCATGCCATTGGCATGTTTATGAGTTATTTATCCTAGTATTTACTTCCAACACGAAACTTACTTGTTTTTCTATTTTTCACTAATATAATTATCTTTCACTAATGATTGCAAATCTTGAGATTTTATTTATTTGATTGAATGTTGAGATGATTGATCGCTTACTGAAATATAACATTGAAACTTAAGCTATGTGAAGCATATAAAACATTTAGCGAAAGTCAATTTTAAAAATAAAACTGTGCCAAAAAGATTTTCAAATGAGTTACTGCTATTTACGTAAAATCCAAAATAAAATGCATATTTAAATAATTGTACTTTCAAGCCTTACACAATACTTGAGTGTTCACAACTGAAACTTTTGAAAATGACCTTCCA